ACCACTCACTTCTTTCTTTGGATCATTCAAACAAAATACTTAATACCTTATTTTTTGGACTATAAGACACACTGGAGTATAAGACCATGATTTTGAAGAGGTAAATTTTAAAAAAAAATATTTGCACTCTGCAGGCCTCCCAAACCCTCTGCAAGCAAAAAAAAAAAGGGGGGGGGGATGCAGAGGCTTTGGGAGACTTGTAGAGTGCTCGTGGGGGTGGGGGCAAAATGGCCCAGGTTTTGCTATTTTTTGCCTTCCCCAGCCCTCAGGAGTACTTTACAAGTCTCTCAAACCCTCTGCACATACATTTTGTAAAGGGGGCAGGTTTTAGTAGGCCTAAAATTCTGTATTCAGTGTGTAAGACACACCCAGATTTTCATCCTCTTTTTTGAGGGAAAAAGATGCTTCTTATAATCCGAAAACTACGGTAGTTAACATTTTTATTTAATTTCTATTTATGATATTTATATCGCACTTTGCCACCAGGGACTGAAGCACATCTTCCTCCAATTTTAATAAGAAGACCTTGTTTAAATAATCCAGGGATAGACAACCAGTAATATACCTGCATAAATATAAATTTATAAATTAAATATAAAATAGCAAAAATATTTCACATTAACCCCAAAAATCTGAGCCTATCTTTTACATGCAAGAATTGGGTGGCAATATAATTTCTATATCAAACATGCAGCATTTTTTAGGCTAGCAAAGCCAGTATGGAAAGAATAAGCAAAACGTTACATTAAAATTCTATGGTAGATCAGAATTCTACAATGACTGGAAACAATTACCCAAGCTTTTCCAGAACAATTTTCACATATTGTTGATTGAATCCAACAGTATTCCAAGTCCGCATCTTTCTCCAATTCTAAAAGCCCAAGAAAACTTGGATGAAAATGACATATATTTTTTCCAAGTTCATACTGTTCTCAAAAAGAAAAAGTGGAAAATTTATGTTAGTGTGTAAATGTGGTGAAAGCAAGGATTGTTTGTCAAGATAGAAAGGTATGGAGAAAAAGTATAGTAAATATTGGTGGTGGAAATTACACTTCTAGGTTCTTTCTTGGAAGTGCTGCCTTGAATATTTTTGCCTTGCTGTATCTATCTTCTTTTCCACAATTCGCATGTTACTTACCCAAAAAATGGAACCTGATGAGAAAGGGCGTTGGTACCTACCTGATACGCCTCTTCTAATAAGGTGGAGATAGCATCCATGAATGGGTTAACACAGTCCTTACTCTGATTGGACTGAGTCTGATTATTAATTAATTATCGACCTATATAACCTGCCTTGTGAGTGTCCCCACCCAGCTGTCCGGCAAAGAAAATAAATACAGACTCAACGTGTTTTCCAAACAAAATTTATTGGAATATAATAATACATAACCAGAAAATATTTAAACTCTCCCAATCGTCATTCAGAAAAAACGTGACAACCAGAACCAGAAGGAACAGTTCTACAAGGGTGGGACTGATGCTATCTCCACCTTATTAAAAGAGACGTATCAGGT